TCTCTAACTATAAATCAAATCAAAATTTTCTGCATAGTGCATAATTGAGATAATATTAGTGTTGTAGGTACATAACTTATGTAAGTCAATAAAAAAAATATTCAAATATGTCCATTATGATTTTTTTTTAAATTAGAATTTTTTTTGCGACCGGACCGGGTCACCGGTTTACCGACCGGGTCACCAGCTTTCATGAAAACCGGCCGGGTTGAACCGGGTCGCACCGGTTCTGATGCATAACCGGTCCGTTGCTTCAACCGGACCGGTTATATGACCGGTTTACTGGTTCCCGGGTCGACTCGGCCGGGTCGGTCCGGGTTTCATAACACTGGTTTAACATATTTAAATCTTAGAGTATTTGGTAAAGAGTTGCAACTGTAGTTTTAAGCTGGTAGTCGAATATTCCTTGTAGGAGTATTGAAATACTTTTTTGGGAAGAAAAGTATTCGGATACCTTTGAAAAAGTATTCGAATACTGGAAAGTATTCGAATACAGTGAAGTTTGGTATTCAGATACTGTGGTATTCAGATACTTGGGGGAAAAGTATTCAGATACTTGGTAGTATTCAAATACTTAAATGAAAGTAATCGAATACTTTCTGGAGAGCTGGAGTATTCGAATACTACTCGTGAAGTATTCGAATACCTCCTGCAGAAACAACATGAAATAAGTTAAAATGAGTAAGAAAGCCTTAATCACTTAGTGTAATATTGAGTAATGATTATTGATGATTAATTATTGCTTAAACAGATTGTGATTGTGCTGTTTGTGGGCCTTGAGCTAGTGTGGACTCTTGGCTTGGGATAGTTAGCTTGCAAGGTAAGATTTTGTGTCCTCGGTTTAGCCATTGTTGGTTCTACCATTTCCCATGGGGGATGGTTGTATGCATGATGTGTTTTCATGTACTGTTTTATTGAAATGCTATGGAGCTGTTAAGTGCAATTGCTTATGATATGTATGTAGTTTTACGCCTACAGGAGGCCAGGGGGTGATCCTGTGGGCGGGTGCAGCGAATGGCTAGTACCGTGTGGGTTTAGGGATTCCTACACTTCAATGATATGTATGTAGTGTTACGCCTACAGGAGGCCAGAGGGTGATCCTGTGGACTGGTGCAGCGAATGGCTAGTACCGTGTGGGTTTATGGATTCCTACACTTCTCTGATCAGTAGAATAGTTAACACACATGTCATGATTATATTCTGCATTGCACTATTTTGGAAATTATATTGTTTAGCTGCTTTTGAACTTATATTGCACATGTAATTGAGCTTGGGGTGGAAGATCCTTGAGGACCCCTTGTCTTAGTGAGACTTCCTTTTAGAGATCTCACCCCACGTTTGGGGCACCATTTCAGGTTCAGGTAATGCTGGGGTTGAGACCTCAAGCGGCAGGAGGCCGGAGCTTAGTTGATTTAGATGCTGTTATGCTGATTATATTGGATGCTGGATTATATCTACTGCTATTTTTTGATTAGCTATGATATTGTTGTTGCTGTTGAGACTTTGTTGGCTTTGTTGCCTTATTTGGTGAGCATGGGAATTGTCCATGCCGCATTGATTTGACTATGTCTTGTTTTAGATTCGAGTTGTAATAATGTATCGGGATTATGTCCGGACTACGTGTTGTAGTTCCGTGATTTTAGATACTCACTGCTATTATTATATTGAGGTATTTCAGTTAGATGTCTTTTGCAATTTACATACAAGCGATGTTTTTATGAAAATGATTAAATAATCAACTTGGCTAAGTATAATGACGTCATAATTGAAAAGAAAAAGATATTCCACATTTTTAAATTAAGCGTGACTTAATACGATGACATGTTAACAAACCGGGTTAACACGGGGTGTTACAATTTCCAACAACTTTGGTGACAAACTTTGTTGGATTTGAGTGAGTATGGAGGGAGTTATGAGAGAAGGAAGATTTGGAAGAAGTTTGGCCCTTCCATGGAGGCAAGCTCGGTTTTGGGGAGGGAGAAGGAGAGAGAAAGTGGCTGATTTGTGATGTTGTCCAAGTGGCAAGGTCCACTTAAGTGAGGTGGGCCCTATCGCCACCTTATGCGATTTCGAACTTATTCGAATTTTTCGCCTATTCCGCTAAACATCCATAATTTCATAAAATATGTAGAAACTCTAATTTTTAACATTAACCATTGTCCTTTAGTTGCCCTTGATCAGATGAATCTGAAGTTTTTCAGTCATTCGGAGAAATCGCAGTTTTAAGCTGTTATGCGCATCGTGGGCACGCTTCCCCAAACACACTAATTTTCATCAATTTTCACCAGAAATCCTATTTCCTAGTCCTATGTACCATTTATAACCTATATCCAAACCTAGAGCTCAAAATTCATTCGGCACGCTATACGATGCAACTGTACCGCAATATTTTTACTATGTAAAAAAACTATTCACCAAATTTTCAGAAACTTGCCTAACCACTCAATTTTTCGTTCCGAATCCATTTCCAGGGTTAGGTTTCTCATTTGAGACCTCCTACTCAATTTTACCTTCATAGGGTTACGTGTTTGGCTAATTACCGTTTTACCCTTCCTTTGTATTTTGACTCTAATTTCAGGATTTTCACTAATTCTACCCTTTAATCCACATATAACATATGTTTTAGAAATGTGAGGTGTTATATTACCGGCTTATGCTCCCAGAGCTATTCTGAAGTCTCATTTATATCAAGATTCGGCTTGTTAATTTCGTAAGTTGTAATCCTTCTTTTCCTAAACCTTTTGGTAGTCCTTGTAGTAATTTATTTCATAGTTCCTCCTTCTCTGGGATATATGATAAATACACTGAGAATGTTGGGTGCGTACTGATAAATACACTGATGCCTTTATCATCCTTCGTTTATGTTCTATCCTAGGGGTTGGACAGGCTGCTTCTATGCCGATTTAATAATTCTAATATACAATTACGTTTCTATATACTTTATGGTAAAAGAGCAGAGTTAAAATAAAAGGATTGTAACTATTGCATTTGTGTGTGGCACCTATAGACTGCAAAGGCAATTTGGTTTGGCTATACTTTTATGTGAAATTTATAAACAATGAAAATTATATGGATATAAATGCCCCGTGAAATGGGATTCTTAACTTGAATCTGTTAGGCCATACTAGTAAGGAGTTGACTCCAGCAGATGATATAAGGGAATACAACTGTTAAGTACGAGTACATTATACTATCGTCATTTTTCTTAGATAAACACATATTTTTCGTAGTCATACCTAGAATATATGAACAAATGAAGTCAGAATCGAGTTGTCTGTGATCCTGTGGAAGATAAGGGTTCACACAAGTGTGTTTGCCTCCCCATCTAGTAACAATCCACCGATCTCGCCATCTCGGTAACATTGCTCGCACCCTCCAAGGACATCCTTCAACATGATTAACACATTTCATGAGAAGCTTATTTTTTTTTATTTTTTATTTTTTGCTTTCCTCCACTGCGACAGTGTGATAATTCTTCATAAAATAACACTTGATTGCCTTATGTACCGATTCCTTACTTTCAAATTCTTGATTAATATATAATTCATCCCTCATTTGCCAAGAAACCATCATTCCCCCCATCAACAATCAGTTTTTGATCTGGGTGTTCCCAATTAATATAAGTATAGTGCGGACTCACATTCCAGAATGGAGTATTAGTTTGAGATACACATACTAACACTCTATCACATTCAAGTAACACATGAATATAACATGTAAAATACAATAATCAGAAAGTTAATTAACTAACCAGTCGGGACAACATTTTTGACATTATTGGTGTCCACATCACAATCAGAGTAATTACCCTCAAGAGGAACTTCTTCATTTACATCTTCATCAAAGTCACTACCCTCAGGAGGAATTTCTTCATATACATCTTCATCAGAGGCACCTAAATTAACATCCATGTAAACTGCACTGTCTTCCTCTTCCACAACTGTATTTTGCCAGTGATGTGATGGAGCATCAGAATGTGGCAAATTTAGATCCAATGACTCAACCGGTAACGAAAAACTACCTGCACAAGCAATGTCGGCATACAACTAAAGCATCGTGAACATAAAAAATTAATTATTATTTAAAATCTCTATATGCTAATTATACATGCTGATGTTATTAGGATAACACAAAATAATTAATTTCAAAAATTCTAACAACTATTTCTAGTTAAAAGAAACCCTAAATATAGTACAAATTAATTATTTTTAAATCATATTATTAAAATATTACTTTCCAATAACTAATTATTATGACAACTATATAAATATAATTAATTGCACACATGTTTGTGTTAGTAAAAAAAACTAGTGTATTAGATTACCAAAAACAAAAAACTAGCATATTCTAAATATTATTATGTCAAATATCTAAAATAAGTAAAAAAATTAAATGATTTTAATTAATTAATAAAATGAAAATGATGTTAACTTACTTGCCTTAGTATGCTCTGCAAATGAAAAAAAAACAAAGAAAGAGAAAATGCTGCAAATGGAAAAAAAGAGAGATACAAGAATGTTCACAGATCTAAAATTTTGAAAGCGAGAACATAGAGGTAAGAAATAGAATAATGTGGGGCTCGGATGACTGGAGTTGTGTCACTTGACATGCGGTCTGAGTTTCCGGGAAGGAGGGGGACACTCAAAAATTTAAAATATAAAAATTTTAAATGAGTGCTGAGGATGTGCGGCACTTAAGTAATAAAAAAAAAATTAGTGCTGACAAGAATGAGGGCGGCACTGTGTCCAAAAAGAAGAAGAAAATATCACATGAGCACAGCAGTTTGTGGGCGTTATTTAGAGTCGTTAGATCTCCGCGACATTCAAAAACCCCAAATGATAATATCTCTCAACCAAATAACAAATTAGTAAATTTAAACGAAAATAACTCAAAAAAAGAGCCCACACATTCTACTTCACTGCCTATTGGCGAGGCCAGGTAGTTTCTGGGGCTCTTCTCACATTCCTTATGTACCCTCACACTCAGTTTTCCTTATGTGTTTGCTCTCTTCAAAGCGACGTGTCCTGTGGTGCAAACCACATTGTTGTTTCGGTTCACTTCCTTCTCTGTCTCTCTCTGAAATCAGAAGGGGATTTTCATGAAACAGAAAAAACCCTAAGATTGGTCCTGGGATTCCAGCCTAAAGATTCCTTATAACTGCATGTTCCACCGGTTCCTGAACCAGGTAATGACGACTTTCTTGGATTGTGAATGACCGTAAACTCTTAGTGCTTCCTGTGAATCATTTTAGGGGTGATTTTATAAATTATACTTGAGTGCAAATGTTAAAGACTTCACTAGAAATATTGATTTTAAGAGTAGTTGATTTTTTGTTGTTGCCTGCTGCTTTTTGGTAGTGTTGATGTTTGTTATAAGAAGATGAGGTGCTGAGTTTGGTTCTTGAACTATGTGATGATTGATATCGTCTTAATTGGAAGTAATTCCATATGTTGTTAGTGATAATTGGGAAATAAAGTTTCATTTAACTTTGAAGTTTGAAGTTTGAAGTTAGAATATGAATAGGAATTCTTCTTGGTATGAATGCTTCATGGGTGTTTCTTTCCCATTTAATTTCTTAGTCATACTACTATAGAATTAGAATACAGAACTTAGGGTTTTCCCCATTAATAAGAAGGGATTTTAGTTTCTTCGTCAATCTACTATATATTCTTGTATTAAGGAATCTAGCTCGTTATCCTACTTGTGTTCCATTTGATTATTTTACAACATAATTTTATGTGTCTCAATACATTGCTTTGTTACTTCTCTATAGTTTTTCTTGTTCACCTTTATAGACGGTTGGTTGCTGTATATTCAATATCATTTGTCATCTGTTTTACACAGATAATAGTTTTTTTTCATACTATGAGGCATCGGTGTTTGTAAATTGATTAAATTTTATGAGTAATACTTGTTGCTATGATGGCAGGAAAGGAACTAGTATGCGCCTCTTTATTCCATATCAAATCAAGGACAAATCCTGATTCTAGGGTTTTGCATAGGGTTCTGAGTTCTATCGTCCTTCTTCTTACCCGTCGTTTTTAAACTATTCCCCATGAACCCTATGCAAAACTGCAGCACCACAAAATCCACATCAAAACTACCCCGAAGGCCAAAAAGCAAAAAGAAGAAGGATTCAAGAGTAAATGATGCTCAAGTAGCTGCAACCCCATCAGAATTCTCATTTGCTATAGCCAAAATTGCAGTTGCTCAGATCTGTCAGTCAGTTGGTTATAAAAGGTCCAAAAGTGATGCTCTTGAAACCTTAACTAATGTTTCAACAAAATATCTCCAAGCCATTGCGAGATCAGCTGCCTCATTTGCTATTGCCTCGAATCGTTCTGATTCAAACCTCTTTGATTTCATCAATGGCATTCATGATCTGTCCTCTGTTCAAGGATTTCCCGGTGGTTCAGAGTTGCACAAAAGTAACCTGCTGAGGTCTGCAGCTCTGAAAGAGATGATGAATTTTGTCAAACTCTCTAATGAAGTACCATTTGCCAAACCAATTCCAACAAATAATGTTTCTGTAAGCCAAAATCCGGCAACAACCATTGATTCTGGCACATCAATGTGTTGCTTTAAGAAAGCAAAAAAACAATGTTTGCATGTACCAAAATGGCTCCCAGATTTTCCTAAGGAAAGCTTATATAAGAATTGTGATCAGGTTTTGGTTAAGGAGAGGAAATGTGGTGAGAAACTATGGGAACATTCACTTGCTGTGGAATATTGCAGTGGTAAAAACAGTGGCGTACTACAATGCAGTGACATTAATGGAAAAGAAACGAAAGAGACCAGGATGGAATTGGCAAAGGGAAGAGGAAGAGTGAAGTTTAAGATTGGAGGGGAGGAAGAGAAGCAGTCTGGATTGGGTGTGAATATGATGAATGGGGTTTGTAAAGGAAGGAAAAGAGTGTCTTGGAATCATGGTAAAATAAATGATTGCATGGTTGAGGAAAATGAAGATGAAAGGAGTGCATTTAAGAGGAAAAAGATAGCATAATTGTTATGCAAACATGTTTATAATTGTTCTAGAAACTTTTCTTCATGGTGTGCTTGGAATGTGAAAGAAGAGATAGATATGAAAGAAGAAGAAGAAAAAAAAAAAGTTTAGCGCTTCCTATGGTTTGAGAGTCGAACCCGGGTCATAGACTTGAGGTTTGTACACGACAACCACAGCAATAGTTCGAAATTGTTTGTTGTCTTTTCAGTCTATTGTATTATAAATCTTGGATTGAGTCTTTCCGAGATTATAGCTTGATTTTGGCGCTTAGGAAATTGTCATAGTTTATTTTCTTTCAAAGAACATAATTTTGGAAAATAGCAGATTATTTTATGGGTTATTGGATTTTTATAATTCAATTCTTTTGGGGCAAACAAAATTTAGGAACTGGATATGATATTTCACAATTAAGAGAGGTTTACCTCGATTAGCGAATGTTTACCAATGAGACTCATTTGACCCAAAACTTTTGTTAGCGCAACTTAATCCTATTATGAGTGAATTTTATCTATAATATTTTTTTACACAACTTTTATGTTAGTGCAAGTTAAGGTGCGTTTGGATAAGCTTCTTTAAAAGGCGTTTCCTTGATATATATTTTATCTTCTTTTTTTTATAAGCTATTTTTTTCTGGGTTATAAGAAAAGTACTAAATTATACTTTTTAATTATGTACCTATCTTTAAAATAATTTAGATACATTTTAATTAAAAACATTTAAAAAAAAAACACAACCAAAGAGTCTTCAATCCTATTAATTAAGCTCTCTTCATTTACTTAATAAACTAAGAATTTGTCTTTTTAATAATTTCGTATAAAGTAATTGTTTAAAATGCTAATAAAATATTTATTTGTTGGGTTTAACTTAAATTTCATTGAAAATTGTTACCAATAGATTCTTATTAGATTGGTAGATATGAAAGATATGTAAAATATGTGTTTGGCAAGATACGTGAGAGATTTGAAAAATATGCAAGAGATTTGTTTTAAATACGAAATTATGAAATTTGTGTGTTTGATTCCTTACAAAACCTTATACTAGGGAATTGATAGGGTTATGAAAATATGAGTGTGTGAGAGTTCGTTTTGCAAGAAAGCCTACAGGCTTGATTTGTTTTAACAGTAGATATGGTTTTTTTTTTTTTTAATGCAGGCATGATTGATTGGATCACATTTGTTTGTGATGCTTTTTCTAATTATTAGTGTTCAATCCAAGAGGGATTACAATTGATATAGAATTTAATTACAATTTGTGTTTGTGAAGGAGACCGCAAGGAGCGGGAAATTACTATGCGTAAACGAAGAATTAAGCTGATGGGGTGGTTTGTTTGCGTAATAAAACTAAAAAGTTAGGGTTTTAGAAGTGTGTCTCTATAGGGCTTGACTCTTTATTTATAAAGAGAATTTACTTTCAGTGAATACAACTCAATATCAACTAGATTCTGTGGGACCAGAACAATTTTTTTTTTTTACATAAACATGTGAAAAAAGGGATCTAGATCCTCTAATGTGAGAAATCCCATGACCATGTCATGTGAAAAATCATAATCATATAAAGGTAAATCAATGATAATAAAGGATGAGAGAGAAAAAATATATTAAAATAGGTAGTTACAAAATCATAACCGTTGATTTACCTTTGTATGATTGTGATATTCTTACATGACCATGTCATATTTTTTTTCACATGAAAAGATCCATTTCCAACATTAATACATACAGAGGTCTTGTATGAACTGATTAAACACACAATTAGCCCTAATCAAATTGTTAGAAGAAAAAGTGAGATTTTAATCATTGATGAAAAGATCAACATTTGCACATTCATTTTGTTAGAATCTACTTTGTTAATTTTCTCATCAATAGTTAGAATTAAACCCTTTTTTTTCCGTTTCTTTTGAAGTGAAATGTTTGCATGCGAGGAGCCAAAAGTTATATTTTAAAAGGGAAGTTGCTGAATGGCATTCCGGATTGAAAATTAAGGTTCATTCATCACATCTCAAAAGTTGATATTTTAACCTGGGGTCATCATCAACTTATTGCACCGGGTATACAGTGATGTTTCAAAAATAAAATAAAATTGACTAGGAAGAATTTAATGCAAAAGAAATTTATAAAAGAATCCTTGTTTTCTCGTGCTAAGTGAAGTGTGGGAAAATCATTCAAACAAAGGATTAAATAGAAAACACTGGACAAATCGGCATCAAATGAAAAACAAAACTAATATGATTTGATTTTCCATATCCAGTGTCTTCTACAAAATAGGGGATTTGAAAGGGGTGTAACTATGATTCAACTGAAACCGTAAAATGTTAAAAATTTGATGTTAGAAATATACTTAAATAACCGTTCGCGTGACTACACCAAATTGCTTAAACTTTCGTGAGAGTTGGTTCGTGAGAGTTGAAGAGATGCAAATTTCTGTTCATCATACCAATATTTACAAGCTAACAAAGAATATATACATGAAAGCGTTAAACACCAACAAGGGCTCAAACAGAAGGGCTAGATCTGAGAACCCTCTCAAGCTTCTCAGCTTTAGTGTAATCCTTGTCAGTTAGCTGTCCAGAAGGAAAAGGTGTGATTTCCACAACGAGATGTGGAGTTGGAAGCTCATCAAAAAGAGCTCTCACATTGTTGCAACATACACTTTCTCCATGAGCACTTTCCCTCCGGATTTGGCAACCCTGCAATGGTTTATTAGCAACATATATGTCAAGCAGTTCTTGCATTAAATTATATCAAATTATGAGGAAAAAGAGAATAAAAAAAAAAAAGACAACCAATTGAAACACAGTTAAATAAAAATACAAACTTTGTGAGAGGCAGCATCGACAAAGTGATCATCATCTGATAATAGATATGCAATGGCTTTAAGAACTCGTTGCCCCTCAGACTTGGATCGGACTCTATAGTTCCTTCTAAGTGTACCCTTTCTTGTGGGATGCCATTTGCTCACATTTATCCCTCCATTAGCTCCTCCCTTTGCTGACCAAATAAAAAACAGAAACAAACGATACACATTGTTGATGAAAGCATATCCTTTTGAAACAATAATGTCAATAATAGAAGAGAAAACATAAATAAGGAAAGAGACTGGATTTGCATGCATTGAAAGTGTCAAGAATCATAGGTTTGGGATTAGCAAAGACTGAAAAGAGAGAGAGAGAAGGCTAACAATAGCAAACTGAAAATGTGATAGACAAGATGTATGGTGTTCCAATACCCCCATCTAGTACTACTGTTTATACTATACTTAAGATTGAATAATAGAATATTTTATATTGAATAAATTGTGTGTTACAATGTACAAGAGCTCTCTATTTAAAGAGATTAAAAGGCCTAATGGGCTAAGCCCACAAGATGTGAGACTATATACACTCAACTATTCTAACAACTACTCTAACACTCCCCCTCAAGCCGGAGCATATATATTGTAAGCACCCAGTTGCCACAAATGTATTCAACCTGAGGACCTCTAAGAGCTTTAGTGAAAACATACGCGAGTTGATCATCAGAGTTGACAAATGCCGTTTTGATTTCTCCTGATTGAATCTTTTCTCGAATGAAATGACAATCAATCTCTATATGTTTGGTTTTCTCATGAAATACAGGATTAGATGATATATGTAGCGCAGCTTGATTGTCACAAATGAGTGTCATGGACTGTTTCTGTTCACAAATGTGGAGCTCCCGAATTAACTGCTTTAACCAGATTAGCTCGCAGCAACTCCCATTGCACGATACTCAGACTCTGCACTAAAGTGGGCAACAACAGTTTGTTCCTTACTTTTCCAAGAAATCAGATTTCCTCCAAAGAAGACACAATAGCCTGAAGTAGAGCGCCTATCCTAGGGTGATCCCGCCCAATCAGCATTTGAATAACCACAAATTTCTGTATTTCCCTGATCTGAATATAATAATCCTTTCCCTGGTGCTCCTTTGATGTACAGGAGGATCCTTACAGCAGTATCCCAATGAGAATCACAAGGAGAGTCAAGGAACTGACTAGCCACACTAACAGCAAAAGAATTGTCTGGCCTAGTCACAGTGAGATAATTTAGCTTCCTAATCAACCTCTGATAATGTCCAGGATCAGATAATGGCTCTCCCTGTCCATGTAGTAATTTGATAGCAGGATCCATGGGTGTATCAACCGGCTTATAACCCAACATACCAGTCTCCTATAGGATATTCAAAGCATATTTCCTTTGACAGATAGAAATGTCTTGTCTAGATTGTGCTACTTCAATCCCTAAGAAGTAACGAAGTTTACCAAGATCCTTTGTTTGAAATTGACTGAACAAATACTGTTTTAACTGGTGAATCCCAACTTGATAACTTCCAGTGAGAATAATGTCATCGACATAGACTAACAGATAGATGCATTTGTTAGGAGATGTGAACCTATAAAACACAAAATGATCGACCTTACCGCAGATTAAGCCAAAAGCATGAATAGAAGAACTGAAACGGCTGAACCAAGCTCGAAGAGACTGCTTGAGGCCATATAAGGACTTACGAAGTCTGCAAACCATTCCAGACTCTCACTGAGCAACAAACCCAAGTGGTTGTACCAATTTACTAACAAAAATTAAGTTATAAGGGATGCCGGGAATGTAATAAACAAATGCCAAGGTCAAGGTAGAGGTCGTACGAGCTTGTCCAATCCCACGAACTGGGACTTTGGTTCCATCAGCAAGGGTAAAAGAAGGTAAATGATCAGAATAAGTAAGAGATGTAAAGAGTTCCTTATTACCACAAAGATGATCAGAAGCACCTAAGTCAAATATCCAAGGGCCAAGTGAAGTACAATGAGAAACATAAGCAACAGGATTACCAATATCTGGAGCGGAAGGCTGAGACTGAGGAGAAGCCTTCCTGAGAAGAGTCTGGAGTGCAGCATAGTCCACAGGTGAGAGAGAAATTGAACCAGAGGATGCAGTGTCTGACTGAGCTATATTCGCAGCAAAAGATGGTCGTAAGTGAGGATACTGCAAGAGTAAGGCTGTGAATAACCTCATCCCTACCCTCGCAAAGTTAGGAAGCCTTGTGCAACAAGGTTTTCCTTTATGATTTCAATCAATACGAAAGCAGAAAGCAGAGGACAAATTAACACAAAAACTAGAGAGAATACGTAATAGAGTTCCATGAACTCAAGATAGCCAAACGGAGAAACCATCCTCAAGATGGATGGTACCACTCTAATACCATGTTAAGAATTAGAAGTTTACAGTTACGGAAGAATAAACAGAGAGAAAGATACTAAAAATAGAAAATTGATAATATGATTGATGGATTTAAGGTATTAGAATACCATAGCTTTAATACTCATATTTTTACTAATACTTAGGTTAAGTAATGGTGTAACTAGTACAAGCCCATGCCCACTAACAAAAAGGCTGATAACACTAACAAAAAACATAACAATTCCACAAGATAAAAAAGGGTTTCTTGATTAAAATATCTTTTGAATGCATTTCATCGAAGATGCCAACTGAGATTCACATATGGAATGGGATCAAGTATTCAATTATTATTACTATTATTTTGTTTTGTTTGACTGTAGTATTAAATTATCTATTTCCAAGTTACACTCTTTATTAAGCTGGATAAGATACATAGAAAGAACTCTAACATGACTTTTCTGTCCTCGTTCATCTGCTATCATTATTGATGCCATAGTCTTTAAGGGAGGTCTTCAATAAAAATTGCGACATTTTAAAGCAATGGCCTCTTTGCAATTATGCAAGGGTAAGGCTGCGTACAAGGATTACCTCCATCCTACACTCGCTAGTCGGGTTTAACGGGGAGTTTTTTTTAAAGCAATGGCCTGATTATGAACCATACTAGGTAACCATGGATCCTAAACTACATTTTTCTGCAAAAGGTTAAGAACAATAAGAAACACAAGATCTGAATTCCCATCACAGTGTACTACTTTTTAATGAAGAAAGTATCAACTTTATAATTCCCTCAGTCACTCATCTCTGCATATATTGTATTCTGGTTCCATTGTGAAGTAATGAAGTGTGAAGAAGAATTATGGAGAAAATTCTATTTTCTAGCATTCCAGGAAACTACACTGAGATGACTCCAAGGCAGACAAAGAATACAAGAATTTTTGGTATCAATGGATACAGAAACAGACAAGACAATTACAGCTAACAAGTTAGAAAAAACACAAATTTCTCATTGCTGCCCAAGTGCCCTAGACCTAGAATAAGATAAAAGTAAAAGAGCGAGACAGAGTGTCAGAGGGTGAGAGAGAGAGAGAGATTCTTGTCAATATGGGGAATCTAAAAGGAAGTTAGAAGCCAAAGAAAAGCATTTCTATAAAACCTGTCATATTTGTAGAGCCAAATCAGACTTTGACTTCAGTCTTAAATATAAGATTCAGTCCCTGCCATTCCCTACTGCACCATCCCATATTTAATTCATCTCCACCTCCCCCCTCCTAAAATCCTGTCCATAAAATTTCTGATTTTCACTTCATTCAGTTCATGGCTTCATGCAACCACAAACTTCAGAAACAAGGAATCATAATAAGTCACAATGAATAAGATTTTGTTTTAAAACTTGAAGAACATAGTAGCACTATGTGTGAGTATATGAGGAATTTCATTATTTGACGGTATGCCCTCTGATCTTTGTATGTCAGATAGGATCATAGGGCCAAGTGTTGTTCAACCCTTATTTTCTTGACTATCTAATAAATGTGACATCCCAATCTCATATCAAATAAGTTCTCTATCTTAGATTAATATCTCTATCTTAGATTAATAGCTAAAATGTTAAGTCCCTAACTCACAATTTTTTATTGAAGTAACTAAACTAATAAATCAACGCAAAGTGTTTATTTATAAGAATCAGATCTAACCTCTACTCTATCATCATATTATTATTAACATCCATCAGTGGCCCATTTTCATCTACTCAAAGTACATGTTCATGTTAAATTTTTACATGAACTAGTTCACATTGTGTTGGTCAATTTCCAATTTTCCATTCTATTTACAGTACTAGATAATTTTTCCACATGGAAAATTGAGAATAATATACAAGTCAATGACTTGAACAGCTGAACCACTGTTCATGGTGCCTCATCCAATCCTTGAAATTCTTTGAGCAAAAAGGAAATTAGAAATTTCTTCCATCTACAATCCATCATTGCAGTAAGATTGCTCCCAGTAATCGAAAGGTCACACTTTGCAAAAATGCAAAGGTGAAATTGTGTAAAATCGACTCAACACCCTAATCTCACAAGTCGAAAAGCCATATGCATCAGAATTTATCCTTTTTTCCCTACCCTTGCTAGCCAGGGTTTAACGGAGAATGATTTTTTTTTATTTTTTTTTCAATCCTTTTCCTTTGTCTCTTTTCCCCTTCCCCATCTTCTTCTTCCTTTTCTTTTTTTTTTTAATTTTTTTTACACCCCTTTTAATTTTACTTTTACATACCACCCAATTAATTTGGGACAAAGGTGTTCTTCATGTTGATATTTTTTTTTAATCCATCACTGCATTTATCTCAGACCTAGAGAAATAATGATGGTAAGAAAGTACACAACAATCAAGTCTTCTCAAGCAAGGTCACTGTGCTTTATCAACGGCAAGAAAGTAGGAAAAAATAAAAGAAAAGAAAAATAAACATTCTCTATAAGGTTAGAAAAACCAACCAACAAACCAAAATGAAAAAAAAAGGATTGACAAACCTGGTTTTCCTAGTATGCTCTGTGTCCATTTAGAGAACCCCAAGTCACCAGATTCACTGCTGTCACCAATATCCAAATCTAAAGCAAGCAATGAGCTAAACTCATAAACACCAACCAAAATCCACCTCAAAATAAAAGAACCATTCCAAATTGGGTTGTCAAAAACTTGATGAAAGAACACAAAGCAAGGTACAAATGTAAACCTGAGACAAGTGGGTTAGCTTGAGATCCAGCCAATCCAACTTTGAGGAGGGCATAGAAGATGCAGAGCCTACCAGCCCATAAAATAGGAGCCTCAAGCAAAGAAGCATAGGTAGGTGTGCTCTTGTTTCTTCTGGTACAAAGTGAAGTTTTAGTGGAAAAGATGAATCTTCTAAGGGCAATAGAAGGTTCAGGGAAAAGGGTTTTGGGTAAGGTAGTTGAGGGATTGAGATTGTGAAGTGTGGATTGATGCAGGGGAGACACAAAAGTGATTTGTAAAAGAGGAAGAGGCATTTCTTGAGCTTAACACAACTCACTGTGATAGTATGACAATGGTGGTTGAAATGGTCTCAAATGATATTTGACTCGTTTCCGTGGGTAACGACGTCGTATAATTGCGTTGTGGACTTGCGGGGTCCAACCACGTGGGTTTTGTTTCGGATAGGATAAATTGACATTAGAAATCAGAATATGGCTATACTTTATTTTTTTATTTTTTTAATACTGGAAGGCAAATTAATGAAAGTATGGATGGATTTTTTTTTTTTTTTTTTTTAAAAAATAGCTCTCACTATAAGTTCATTTAGAGTTTTGCTTTAAAAAAAATTATAAAAAAGTCAAAATCTATTTTTTTAGAAGTTAAAATTAGTCAAAAACCAAATAATTGTTTTTTTAAACTAAATAGTTTTAACTTTTATAAAAAATACTTCTAAAATAAGTAAGACATAAAAACTGTTTTTTTTTAAAAAATCCATCTAAATGGGCTCTAACTCGATTTTGAGTTTGAGTTTTATGTATATATATATATAAATTGGGCTTTGGTTTCGTCTTGCAGCAAGCATTTTTTTTTCTTGTAACAGAAAACGACAACTTAAATAATAATAATAAAATTGGAACAAAAACTGTATTTAATAATTTTCTTTTTTCGGTAGCTTTGTATGATAGAAATCTTTTTCTTATAACATGATTGTTATTTATCCCATATAAATTTAAGGATTTAATCTCATAATAAACTAAAACTACAAAATTATATTTTTCTTGATCTCAAAACGATGTTGCTTTGGGGTTGCAGAGTGACTGCAAAAATATTAAATCCTAAGTTTAAATATAATTTTATGTTTCCACAAAGGGAAAAATATTTCTTTTATAGCAGAAGATAAAATCATGTCCCACAGAGTTTTGGATTTTAAGGAAAAAAATATAGGATATTCTGAAATTTCATGAATTTTACTAAAAAAAAACATATATGATTTTTCCACAAAGTTATTTTAGATAGAACAACATTTGCATGAGCAAATAATTCTTAGGAAATAGTTAGTTGCCTACTCTCCTCATGAGTTGAGCAAAACGTAATAGAGATGTAATACAGATTCAATTTGGATCTTCTTTTGTTTCTAATCAGTTTGTTTGGTGCTAACTGCTACGCTATACATTAGAAGGAACCAGTGCTTATACCAAGCGTCCTTTATTCCTGTCACCATTTAAAGGATAGTAATCTGTTTTTCTGTTATAAAGAGGACAGCAACACAATAATCACATATACATCATTATCGTACCGGGTCAAAGGCACTCTCATACACCAGCATGCATCTGTGTCAAATCCTCCTTGATAAAATTCACAAAATAAACTAGCTACAATTTCCAATGATGAATTCTGTAATAGAAACTAAAAAAAAAAAACGTTTGCTAGTAGTCATATGAAGTTATACAGTACAAATAAAATTACAAAATGATGGTACTTCATTTGGCGTAGGAAACTGAGCAGGTGGGGATGTGTTCGATTCTTTTCAGTATTGTCTTCAAGAAGAATTTAAAGCCTTAACCCGTAACCGACTCAAATCCGTTGATGAGGTTTCATGGAGTGGTTTTTAGAAGTGTTATAATTCTAACACAAAATACTCGAGTTGGCATGCATGAATATTTGCAAATATCAATCACCCTAATAATTCTTCAAAATCTACCACCACCTAATTGGAAGGTTTAATTTACAATTGGACAATAAAAAAAACAACAACCAAACATAAAGATTTCGTTACTAATTCTACTTAATAGAGAATACTTTTGAACTATGTCCAATGTGACAAATATTTGAAGCTTGTGAGGCTATAATAAGGGTGTGCATGACAACTTTTTCGGAATCAATTTATTTTTTAATTTCTGTTCCCAAGAACAGAAATGAATAGAAAACTCGTTTGGTAAAACCGGTTTATTTTTTGTTCCCGGGATGAACCGATTTAATTTTTGTGCTGGGAAATAGAAAAAAAATAAAAAAATTTCTGCTTTTTTATTCCCGGGAACAAAATGAGAAACACTTATTTCTCTCAATCACTCTCCACCTCTATCATCATCATCACCACCACCATCATCCCGACATGACCACTGCCACCTCGCCGCCGCCGCCGTTGTACCACCAATGTCGTCGTCACAACAACAACCACCACCACCATGATGCCACTGCCACCATCACCACGACGACGACGACGATGTCATCATCACCACCTCCATCCATCTCCACCACCATGCCACTGTCACATTACCATCGCCACCAACACCACTACCATCACTGTCACCACCACCACCATCACCAACCACCACCACCATTGTAGCCACTGTTATCACCACCACCACCATTGCCACCACCACCATTGCCATCGCCACCACTTCAACCACTGTCACCAACCACCACTATCATTGCCGCAGTCACTGTCATCACCACCACCGCCATGCCATCACCACATCATCGCCACTGCCACCACGCCACCTTCACCAACCACCACCACCATCGTCGCAGTCACTTCTGTTACCACCACCACCACCACCATGCCATCACCAACACCACCATACGACCACTACAACTCCACCACCACCGCCACCAACCACCACCACCACCATCGTCGTAGCTGCTGCCATCACCACCGTCGCTGCCACCACTACCACCACCACCATTACCAACATCGTCATTGCAGCCATTGCCATCACTACCACCACCACCACCACCACCACCACCATCGCCATCATTATCACCATCACGCCATCACCACGTCATCGCCACTGCCACCGCGCCACCACCACCGTCACCAACCACCACCACCACCACCACCACCGCCACAGCCACTGCCGTCACCAACACCACCATGCTACCACTACCACGCCACCGCCGCTGCCGCCACCACTACCACCACCACTATCGCCACCATTACTACCACCATCGTCGCAGCCACTGTCGTCAGTACCACCACTGCCGCCACCACCATAACCACCATTACTACCGCCGTCGCCACCACCACCGCCGCCATATGGAAGGGAAAATGATGATCCAAATTTTTTTTATGCTTAATAGGAATTATTTTTTATTATATTATTTGTTGTGTTATCAAACGCAATTCTCATTCTCAGAATAAAAATAAAATTTGTTATCAAACACATTTTTTTCTCAGAAATTGTTCCAAGGCACATAAATAGAAAAGAATTGTTTCTTTTCAGAAACAGTGTCAGGGAACAGAATGATTGTCATGCACACCCTAAATGATGAGAACTATGTAACTGAAGTCGCATGTTCAATTGTTTCATTTTGTTTGAGACTTCAGCAATCAGCATTATTTTTGTGTTTCCCAACTTGGGGACTAAATTACTATAATACCCTTATCGTAATTTCTAACTTTGCTTGTAAACATAAGATTTATAGTAGTTCATCAAAATAAAACGTATTATATTTTCTTTTATTAAATCCTCTATTTCTCAGAAAAAATTAAAATATTATTATTTTAATAAATAATTACGAAAATATAGTTGTTTTGAATTAATTTATGAATCTATTATATTTATTAACGCCCAATTTAGGCATGACCTACGAGACATTTACGCCTAAGTTAGATGTGACTCATTTGGTGTTGACACGTGACAATGATACTATAGGAGTGTTTAAACCCACAAGCCTCCTAGTTCTTTCCAAATCAACACCAAACACAATCTTCTGCCTATTAGAATCTCCATATCCCTATCTTATGGGCTGTATTCTTATCATTGTGAATTGAGACCTTATTCTGTAAGTCGTGGTATGAAATTAAAGATGGCACCAAAGTGGGTTAGTCCATCTATAAATAAGGATACTTAATGTGATAGTAAATTTAAAAAAAATAGTGTATAATATTGTGAGAAAAGGAAGTGCCACAATATAAAAGTGTGAGAGAGATTGATGAGAATATAATGTGTGAGAGAGATTGGTGAGAATTCTATGTTCTATTTTTTTTATACTTGAATTCTATGTTTTTTAAGTTGTGTGATTTAGTAGTAGTTGTTGTATGTATTCTGTAACACCCCGTCTGCAGCCGGTGTATTAACATACGAATGGTATTTAAAGTGCAGCTTGCAATAATTAATCACTGAAGCAATATAATATTTTATATAGATAAACAAGGCTAATCCTCACGGTGGATTAGCTTTTCACTTTTAATAACAATACTTATGTAATTGCAATGCTAAAATAAAACCTGAAATACCTCGTACTCATAAATAACAATTCAAAAGCATCTATAACACATGATGCTACAATACAAATACTCAGGTAACCAAATAACAGATTATTTAATAGTGGCATAGACAACCCCTATGCTCACAACAAATAACAACAGAATCCAATCAAGTCTAGTCATAATAAAGTCTCATCATGCCAAAATGAATAATCATAATATGCATGACTCATATCAATAATGAAAACTATATGCTAACCTCTTGCCTCTATTAGTGTCTGTTTCACGAACGTCATCTCCTAAAAATATGCTCCAAAAAAGGGTGAGATTTCTAACGGAAATCTAAGTAAGACAAGGGGTCCTTAAGGAAGCCTCCACCCCAAGCTCACTTACATGTATAATATAAGTTCAAAAATAGTGCAGGAAGTATATAAAGAAGCATATTAATAACAAGATAAATGAATGGATATACCGGGCCATTTATAGCAGTAAACAATGCAGTATATAAAATGAGCATGTCATGCAATATATCAAATGAGTGTGCAATGCCGCATATGTCCATGTCATGTGTGCATAGATCCTACTGGCTAGAGAATAAAATGTAGGGATTGCGTACGTCTACAACCCACAGTACAAGGAGTTCACCATGTACCTCACACACGGAGTTACCATCTTGCATGTGGCCTAACATGCTCAGGGATTACTGTCTCGTATAGAATACCCCACATACATATACATATGGAAAATGCACTATATCATAATCCAGCTAAACAACATATCCAATACTCATAACATAAACATATATAATTCCATAATCCAACTCAACAACTTATCCAATACTCATAACATAAACATATATTATTCCATAAA